TAGGCATTTCGGGCAGACTTAGTTTTATTCTTAATTGTAAAATATTACAAATTATGAGGTAAGTTGGTATTATGGCTAAGTGACTAAATACTAGTTTGTGAGTTTAGCAATGTGAATGCTTTTGTTTTGGCACAGTACATAGTTTCAGTATTGGAGTATCACAGGATTCATTATTTTAAGATTGAGATTAATATTTCTGTTTATGGTCAAATGAGTGAGTGTTAGTGTGAACCACCAGGTGGTATTCGTGTAGTTAGTTGACGGGGTGTATCAGGGAGATAAGATGTTTTCTAATGGTAGTTTTGAAGGTGATGAATGTGTCTGCAGTTCTAGAGTTCTCAGGTAGGGTATTCCAGATTTTAGGGCCTTTGACATACATTGAATTTTTGTAAAGGTTTAGTCGGACACGGGGAATGTCGTAGAGATGTTTGTGTCTGGTGTTATGCCTGTGGGTTCTGTCACAACTATCAAGAAAGCGTTTTAGGTCAAGGTTGATATTAGAGTTTAAGGCCCTGTAGATGTAGATTGCACAGTAGTAAGTGTGGATGTACTGAACAGGGAGTAAGTTTAGGTCTATGAAGAGTGGGGGGTGTGTTGCCAGGGATGGGATTTAGTGATTATTCTTACTGCAGCTTTTTGTTGGGTTATTATTGGCTTTAGGTGTGTTGCTGCAGTTGATCATCATGGGCTTGGTATCTCTAGTTTTGAAGGTTTTCATTATCCATCCTATCATTTTCCTAGCAGAGAGAGCATATCTGTTTAATCAAGAGGCGGATCTCAGGTACACGAGGGCACAGCTAAAATTTAAAAACATGGACAAGTCACCAGGAAGTTATAAAATACTTCTTCAGCCTTAGAGTGGTCAGAAATGGAGCGACCTTTAACAGCGAGGTGGTAGAGGCAGAATCCATACTTCATTATAAGAATAGGTATGATAGGGTTCATGCAGCCAAGAGTGTGAACCCAGGAACAGACAGCGGAGAGACGAGACCCGGAGCTGAGACTGGACCTCTGCAACCAGAAATAGGGGAAAACCCATACATGCATATGCACGTACGTTCACAAATTACATGTTATGAAAAGAACTCAGTGTTTACAAATAATATGACAATAACATTGGGGCTCATACTGAGGTGTAAAAGCCTGTCTGTCGATATGTATGTATATATGTATACCTGGAATTTACCTGGAGAGAGTTCCGGGGGTCAACGCCCCCGCGGCCCGGTCTGTGACCAGGCCTCATGGTGAATCAGGGCCTGATCAACCAGGCTGTTACTGCTGGCTGCACGCAATCCAACGTACGAACCACAGCCCGGCTGGTCAGGTATGTGTGTATGTATGTTTTCGTCTTTCTATGTATGTATGCTTTCATCTATCTATCTGTCCATCCATCTGGTTTTACATTTAACAAATTTGGACCCATCAGTAGTGTGCTTTAATCTTATTTTATATGATAATTGTCACTAGATCATATAAACAAAATTGTGAGAAACTCATATGCTACACTGCTAAACTATAAACTAGCTTTCAGAAATATGGATGGTGAAATGTTAAGAAAGTTGTTTATAACTTATACTAGGTCAAAATTGTGATACGCAGTAGTTGTATGGTGCCCACACCTGAAAAAAAACACATAGATAAATTAGAAAATATTCAAAGAAGAGCTATAAACAGGCTGCCAGAGTTAAGCAATATGAACCTAGAAAGGTTGAAAATAATAAAGTTGCTCATGTTAGCTGAGAGGTAGAAAAAGGGAGACATGATAGCCACATACGTCTTGTGAAGACTTGAAAGAGATAAAAATTTCTTAGTACCTGTAACAGGGATAACAAGAGGCCACAGTTGTAAATTGAAAAAAAAAAAAAATGAAGTGGAAAGGATAGTAGAAAATTTTGACCATTGAAGGAGGAATTAGTAAGTGCTGCAACCACTTGTTTTTTTTAAGAAGTGGAGCTACAGCTCCCACTTCACTACACGGAGGGCCCGGGTTCGATTCCCGGCGGGTGGGAACATTCCGACACGTTTCCTTACACCTGTCCTGTTCACCTAGCAGCAAATAGGTACCTGGGTGTTAGTCGACTGGTGTGTGTCGCATCCTGGGGGACAAGATTGAGGACCCCAATGGAAATAAGTTAGACAGTTCTCGATGGCACACTGACTTTCTTGGGTTATCCTGGGTGGTTAACCCTCCGGGGTTAAAAATCCGAGCGAAATCTTAATTTATCTTATCTTAACTCTGCTCTTGTAGCTACAAACAGATAATTACAAATAGGCCAGACTCATGGAACTCCGTGTTCATCAAGAACTGCAAGAAGCCCCTATCACGAGCCTTTTCCATCCTATGGAGAGGGAGCATGGACACGGGGGTAGTCCCACAGTTACTAAAAACAACAGACATAGCCCCACTCCACAAAGGGGGCAGTAAAGCAACAACAAAGAACTACAGACCGATAGCACTAACATCCCATATCATAAAAATCTTTGAAAGGGTCCTAAGAAGCAAGATCACCACCCATCTAGAAACCCATCAGTTACACAACCCAGGGCAACATGGGTTTAGAACAGGTCGCTCCTGTCTGTCTCAACTATTGGATCACTACGACAAGGTCCTAAATGCACTAGAAGATAAAAAGAATGCAGATGTAATATATACAGACTTTGCAAAAGCCTTCGACAAGTGTGACCATGGCGTTATAGCGCACAAAATGCGTGCTAAAGGAATACCAGGAAAAGTCGGTCGATGGATCTATAATTACCTCACTAACAGAACACAGAGAGTAGTCGTCAACAGAGAAAAGTCCAAGGCAGCTACGGTGAAAAGCTCTGTTCCACAAGGCACAGTACTCGCTCCCATCTTGTTCCTCATCCTCATATCCGACATAGACAAGGATGTCAGCCACAGCACCGTGTCTTCCTTTGCAGATGACACCCGAATCTGCATGACAGTGTCTTCCATTGCAGACACTGCAAGGCTCCAGGCGGACATCAACCGAATCTTTCAGTGGGCTGCAGAAAACAATATGAAGTTCAACGATGAGAAATTTCAATTACTCAGATATGGTAAACACGAGGAAATTAAATCTTCATCAGAGTACAAAACAAATTCTGGCCACAAAATAGAGCGAAACACCAACGTCAAAGACCTGGGAGTGATCATGTCGGAGGATCGCACCTTCAAGGACCATAACATTGTATCAATCGCTGTTGCTTTACTGCCCCCTTTGTGGAGTGGGGCTATGTCTGTTGTTTTTAGTAACTGAGGGACGACCCCCGTGTCCATGCTCCCTCTCCATAGGATGGAAAAGGCTCGTGATAGGGGCTTCTTGCAGTTCTTGATGAACACAGAGTTCCATGAGTCTGGCCCTGGGGCAGAGTGCATGGGCATGTCATTTATCGCCTGTTCGAAGTCATTTGGCGTCAGGATAACATCGGATAGGCTTGTGTTAGTCAAATTTTGTGGCTCTCTCATAAAAAATTCATTTTGGTCTTCGACTCTCAGTCTGGTTAGCGGCTTGCTAAAAACTGAGTCATATTGGGACTTGAGTAGCTCACTCATTTCCTTGCTGTCATCTGTGTAGGACCCATCTTGTTTAAGTAGGGGCCCAATACTGGACGTTGTTCTCGATTTTGATTTGGCATAGGAGAAGAAATACTTTGGGTTTCTTTCGATTTCATTTATGGCTTTTAGTTCTTCCCGCGATTCCTGACTCCTAAAGGATTCTTTTAGCTTAAGTTCGATGCTTGCTATTTCTCTGACCAGTGTCTCCCTGCGCATTTCAGATATATTGACCTCTTTTAGCCGCTCTGTTATTCTTTTCCGTCGCCTGTAAAGGGAGCGCCTGTCTCTTTCTATTTTACATCTACTCCTCCTTTTTCTTAGAGGAATAAGCCTTGTGCATACATCGAGTGCCACCGAGTTAATCTGTTCTAGGCATAAGTTTGGGTCTGTGTTGCTTAGTATATCTTCCCAGCTTATATCGGTTAGGACTTGGTTTACTTGGTCCCACTTTATGTTTTTGTTATTGAAGTTGAATTTGGTGAATGCTCCCTCATGACTAGTCTCATTTTGTCGGTCTGGGGCTCCATGCATACATGTCTGAACCTCAATTATGTTGTGATCTGAGTATATTGTTTTTGATATGGTGACATTTCTTATCAGATCATCATTGTTAGTGAAGATGAGGTCTAGTGTATTCTCCAGTCTTGTAGGCTCTATTATTTGCTGGTTTAAATTGAATTTTGTGCAGAGATTTAAAAGCTCGTGTGAGTGTGAGTTTTCATCAGAGCTGCCTCCTGGTGTTATTTCTGCAACAATATTATTTGCTATATTCCTCCATTTTAGGTGCCTTAAGTTGAAATCCCCCAGGAGCAAGATGTTGGGTGCAGGAGCTGGAAGATTTTCCAGACAGTGGTCAATTTTTAACAGCTGTTCCTGGAATTGCTGGGATGTTGCATCCGGAGTATATAATGAATGTATATGTAAGGAGATTATATATATCATTCTAGGTAATTTAAATATGTTACTAAGTATGATAAATGTACTTATGTGTGCCTGTACCTAAATAAACTTACTTTCTTAGGTAATTTAATAAGTTTATTTAGGTAAAGGTTTACATAAAATATAGTTACACAAATTATCATACATGGTAACATGTGTAAATTACCTAGAATAACTCAAAAATGTGAGTGACTTATTTCCACTGGGGCCCTTGTATGATAATTGTATTTATGTGTACCAGTGCCTAAGTAAGCTTACTTTTATTTAGGTTATCCTAGAAAATTTACACTGTATGATAACTGTACTTATGTGTACCTTTATCTAAATAAACTTCCTAACTTAATGTGCTAGGTTTGTCTATAGGTTTAAAGGACCCCAGTGGAAATAAGTCACTTTGTCTGACTTTTTGGGGGTTTATCCTAGGTTCTCTACACGTATGCTGCTATGTATAATAATGTAGGTAACTGTATTTGTATATACGTGAATAAAGTTAGTATGTAGTTTAAGTTTGGCGGGTGTGAGAGTGGATGGTAGTAGAGCCAGGAGGCGCCACTTACCTTCCTCTCCGCCATAACCTCTACACACAAAGTAAGTAATTCTCTGTCTCGCAACTGTACTCTCATATTTTCTTTCATATTCTCACTTGTAGGACTTGTTTGTGGATCAGGTTAGCTTTCTCTGGGGTTAGTGGAGTTAATGCGCATGTAAGTACTCTAGATTTTATTACAGTAACGTCAGAAAGCATGGTAAATATGGGGACCATGATCACGTGGATTTGCATGCTAGTGATGCTATTCAATCATGTTGCTATAATTCTACCCCTCAAGGAAGGTTCCTTGATGTTGGTGAGGGGCTCTTGATTTAGGGAATTGGATCCGTGCTCCAGTTCCCCGAATTAAGCCTGAATGCCTTCCACATCCCCCCCCCAGGCGCTGTATAATCCTCCGGGTTTAGCGCTTCCCTCTTAATTATGATAATAATAATGCTATAATTCTACACTTTTCCAGAATAACTTCAGTGCTCTGGTCTGTCCTAGTAGTAAAATTGTGATTTACGAGTATTTACGCTGCACTTAATTTGAAATAGGCATCATTTGAGTTAAGATTTTATTCGGACAACTAACCCAGACGGTTCGTAACTAGAGATAATTAAGAGTCATGTAGATTATTTCCGTTGTGGTCTCGTAGATCAAATTGTAGCATCTGCCGCTATCTGTAAGACCTGATGAAGCCTCGTAGCGAAACGTTTTATTTAATAAATGCTCAACTTTTCCATACTGTAGGACCTTGGTTCGATCCCGGCACTAGTGCAGACGTTAGGCATCGTATCCATACAGTTGTGTCCCTGTTTGCCTAGCAGCAATTAGGTACCTGAGTGTTAGTTGACTGTTATGGGTCGCATCTTGGGGGAGGACCAAAACAGTATGTAGGTACCTGGTTTGGCTTAGGTTATCCTGGGTTACAAACCCGCTTGGTTAACAGTCTGAATAAAATCTTTAACTCAAATGATGGCTAAATATTCTAAATTGAATTCTTTCAGTGCAGCAAAAATATAGCTAACATTCCCATATATGAGAAAGCTTTAATATGGGGATAGACTAACGAGCTCAGAATTTACACTCTAAGGAAGACATAGAATTAGGAGGATATGATGGAAGTAAGTTTGTTTAGGCACAGGTACACAAGTACCATTATCATAGTGTAAATTACCTAGGATAACCCAAAAATAAGTCAGTGACTTATTTCCATTGGTGTACAGTTGGAAGACAGGAATAAATGTAAGAGATATACTATATATAATTTTGCAATTGACTCGTAAATAGCTGACAGTGAAATGCTTTATAGAAAGCCCTGGTTGTGTTGAGGATAATCAAGAAAAGACTCGGAGCAGTGGGTTAAATTAGGTTTAGAAAGTATACAAGAAACCACTGGTTTGATAAGAGTTGTGGATGAGTGAAACAAAGTCCCAGGTATCATCATCGAGGTGAATACGAATACCTTGGGTATTCAGATAAGAGTTAAGTATCCTGGCTACATTTAAAACGTGTACCAAAAATATCTACTGCAGATACTTAAATATACAATCAGTGCTATAAACCTATCAGTGAAGTTTTCTTTTTTTCCTAAACCAAATGCTGAACCAATTTACTTGGACGTAAAGTTAATTCTTCACTTTTTTTCAGGCAAGATGGCGATTCGACCGCTTAAAAAGCCTAAGATTGTCAAGAAGCGAGTGAAGAAATTTATTCGCCACCAGAGTGATCGCTATGCAAAACTGAAGGTGAGTTCAGTCAGTAATCTTATTTTAAGTGCATCTTTTTAAAACTTTTTTTTTTTTATTTATTATCACACTGGCCGATTCCCACCAAGGCAGGGTGGCCCGAAAAAGAAAAAACTTTCACCATCATTCACTCCATCACTGTCTTGCCAGAAGGGTGCTTTACACTACAGTTTTTAAACTGCAACATTAACACCCCTCCTTCAGAGTGCAGGCACTGTACTTCCCATCTCCAGGACTCAAGTCCGGCCTGCCGGTTTCCCTGAACCCCTTCATAAATGTTACTTTGCTCACACTCCAACAGCACGTCAAGTATTAAAAACCATTTGTCTCCATTCACTCCTATCAAACACGCTCATGCATACCTGCTGGAAGTCCAAGCCCCTCGCACACAAAACCTCCTTTACCCCCTCTCTCCAACCTTTCCTAGGCCGACCCCTACCCGCCTTCCTTCCACTACAGACTGATACACTCTTGAAGTCATTCTGTTTCGCTCCATTCTCTCTACATGTCCGAACCACCTCAACAACCCTTCCTCAGCCCTCTGGACAACAGTTTTGGTAATCCCGCACCTCCTCCTAACTTCCAAACTACGAATTCTCTGCATTATATTCACACCACACATTGCCCTCAGACATGACATCTCCACTGCCTCCAGCCTTCTCCTCGCTGCAACATTCATCACCCATGCTTCACACCCATATAAGAGCGTTGGTAAAACTATACTCTCATACATTCCTCTCTTTGCCTCCAAGGACAAAGTTCTTTGTCTCCACAGACTCCTAAGTGCACCACTCACTCTTTTTCCCTCATCAATTCTATGATTCACCTCATCTTTCATAGACCCATCCGCTGACATGTCCACTCCCAAATATCTGAATACATTCACCTCCTCCATACTCTCTCCCTCCAATCTGATATTCAATCTTTCATCACCTAATCTTTTTGTTATCCTCATAACCTTACTCTTTCCTGTATTCACCTTTAATTTTCTTCTTTTGCACACCCTACCAAATTCATCCACCAATCTCTGCAACTTCTGTTCAGAATCTCCCAAGAGCACAGTGTCATCAGCAAAGAGCAGCTGTGACAACTCCCACTTTGTGTGTGATTTCTTTATCTTTTAACTCCACGCCTCTTGTCAAGACCCTCGCATTTACTTCTCTTACAACCCCATCTATAAATATATTAAACAACCACGGTGACATCACACATCCTTGTCTAAGGCCTACTTTTACTGGGAAATAATTTCCCTCTTTCCTACATACTCTAACTTGAGCCTCACTATCCTCGTAAAAACTCTTCACTGCTTTCAGTAACCTACCTCCTACACCATACACTTGCAACATCTGCCACATTGCCCCCCTATCCACCCTGTCATACGCCTTTTCCAAATCCATAAATGCCACAAAGACCTCTTTAGCCTTATCTAAATACTGTTCACTTATATGTTTCACTGTAAACACCTGGTCCACACACCCCCTACCTTTCCTAAAGCCTCCTTGTTCATCTGCTATCCTATTCTCCGTCTTACTCTTAATTCTTTCAATAATAACTCTACCATACACTTTACCAGGTATACTCAGCAGACTTATCCCCTGTAATTTTTGCACTCTCTTTTATCCCCTTTGCCTTTATACAAAGGAACTATGCATGCTCTCTGCCAATCCCTAGGTACCTTACCCTCTTCCATACATTTATTAAATAATTGCACCAACCACTCCAAAACTATATCCCCACCTGCTTTTAACATTTCTATCTTTATCCCATCAATCCCGGCTGCCTTACCCCCTTTCATTTTACCTACTGCCTCACGAACTTCCCCCACACTCACAACTGGCTCTTCCTCACTCCTACAAGATGTTATTCCTCCTTGCCCTATACACGAAATCACAGCTTCCCTATCTTCATCAACATTTAACAATTCCTCAAAATATTCCCTCCATCTTCCCAATACCTCTAACTCTCCATTTAATAACTCTCCTCTCCTATTTTTAACTGACAAATCCATTTGTTCTCTAGGCTTTCTTAACTTGTTAATCTCACTCCAAAACTTTTTCTTATTTTCACCAAAATTTGTTGATAACATCTCACCCACTCTCTCATTTGCTCTCTTTTTACATTGCTTCACCACTCTCTTAACCTCTCTCTTTTTCTCCATATACTCTTCCCTCCTTGCATCACTTCTACTTTGTAAAAACTTCTCATATGCTAACTTTTTCTCCCTTACTACTCTCTTTACATCATCATTCCACCAATCGCTCCTCTTCCCTCCCGCACCCACTTTCCTGTAATCACAAACTTCTGCTGAACACTCTAACACTACATTTTTAAACCTACTCCATACCTCTTCGACCCCATTGCCTATGCTCTCATTAGCCCATCTATCCTCCAATAGCTGTTTATATCTTACCCTAACTGCCTCCTCTTTTAGTTTATAAACCTTCACCTCTCTCTTCCCTGATGCTTCTATTCTCCTTGTATCCCATCTACCTTTTACTCTCAGTGTAGCTACAACTAGAAAGTGATCTGATATATCTGTGGCCCCTCTATAAACATGTACATCCTGAAGTCTACTCAACAGTCTTTTATCTACCAATACATAATCCAACAAACTACTGTCATTTCGCCCTACATCATATCTTGTATACTTATTTATCCTCTTTTTCTTAAAATATGTATTACCTATAACTAAACCCCTTTCTATACAAAGTTCAATCAAAGGGCTCCCATTATCATTTACACCTGGCACCCCAAACTTACCTACCACACCCTCTCTAAAAGTTTCTCCTACTTTAGCATTCAGGTCCCCTACCACAATTACTCTCTCACTTGGTTCAAAGGCTCCTATACATTCACTTAACATCTCCCAAAATCTCTCTCTCTCCTCTGCATTCCTCTCTTCTCCAGGTGCATACACGCTTATTATGACCCACTTCTCGCATCCAACCTTTACTTTAATCCACATAATTCTTGAATTTACACATTCATATTCTCTTTTCTCCTTCCATAACTGATCATTTAACATTACTGCTACCCCTTCCTTTGCTCTAACTCTCTCAGATACTCCAGATTTAATCCCATTTATTTCCCCCCACTGAAACTCTCCTACCCCCTTCAGCTTTGTTTCGCTTAGGGCCAGGACATCCAACTTCTTTTCATTCATAACATCAGCAATCATCTGTTTCTTGTCATCCGCACTACATCCACGCACATTTAAGCATCCCAGTTTTATAAAGTTTTTCTTCTTCTCTTTTTTAGTAAGTGTCTACAGGAGAAGGGGTTACTAGCCCATTGCTCCCGGCATTTTAGTCGCCTCATACGACACGCATGGCTTACAGAGGAAAGATTCTTTTCCACTTCCCCATGGACAATAGAAGAAATAAAGAAGTACAAGAACTATTTAGAAAAGGGAGAAAAACCTAGATGTATGTATATATATATATGCATGTGCATGTCTGTGAGGTGTGACCAAAGTGTTAGTAGGAGTAGCAAGATATCCCTGTTATCTAGCGTGTTTATGAGACAGAAAAAGAAACCAGCAATCCTACCATCATGCAAAACAGTTACAGGTTTCTGTTTCACAGTCATCTGGCAGGACGGTAGTACTTCCCTGGGTGGTTGCTGTCTACCAACCTACTACCTTTTATTGTTCTTAATTAAAGCTAAGGCTTTGTGATTTGAGTAAGTATTTTAAGAAACCCTATTTTATAAACTTCGTTTATAGTGGAGAAATAGTGAGGACAGGTTATTGCTTTCCTGGCATCAGAGAAGTGTAAAATTGTTGATCCCCTACACCCCTCTTTTTTTTTTTCAAACAAGTCATAATTAGTATAAATGGGGATTTGCTTGTAATATTCTTGCACTGTACCCTTACAGGAAACTATAGGGGTAAGGTGCACTTGGAGACAAACTTATGACAATGTTACAATCCAATTTGTATCTATTAACTAGACACATAGGAAGCACAAAGGGAAAGGAGCCAGAATATAAGAGGGGTGTGTGGGCACATAGGGAAATGCAAAGGGAAAGGAGCCAGAATATAAGAGAGGGGGTGTGGGGGGACATCAAGAGAGTGGGTGTGGGGCGACATCTGTCCCTTCTGTGTACTCTAGCTCCCTTCCCTGCTTTGATGTGTGACTAGTTAATGGTCTAGGTCAGACCAAAATGTAGTCATAAGTTTGTCTCCCAAGTGCAAGTTATTTATGTTTTGTTCCAGTCATGGTATTGTGCTTTTTTTTTTTTATTCTCCAAACCTTTTTCTGTAAAGACCTGAATTCAGTAGGATAAATTAGTCAAAAGGCTGACCCTTGTTTCTCAGTCAGATTTGGCAAGAACGGTAGAGAGCAGTGCCACGTTGGCTGTTTGTATGGATGAACAACATAGCTGACTGACTGTAACTATTTACTTAATTTCATATATGAAATTTGCATAAAACTTCTATATATAAGTTTCAGAATGGAATTTTACTACTGTTGGGCATGTCAGTCATTGTTATCTATAATAAGATATAAAAAATTGATTTTACAGTACAAATTGTTATAATTAGGCATAGAAAGTGTTAAAGCTAATATGTCGCATGTAGCTTCTTTTATTGAGCCGTCCTATAACTAGCCAAAAAAGTCTTTCCAAAAGTTTCAAAATAGTGTCTAATTACATGGAATGAAAGACAAGATGTGTTCGAGTTTCATTTAATAACATTTAAACAATGAACCAAGAGTACTAAATATAATAACTGATAACAGTAAACCAGAGAGTGGTGTTTGATAATTGACTGTGTTTACTAAAGTTGCTCCTAATCCTTGCCGTGATTGTGTGACAGTATCGGTTACACCCAGTCTTGATGGTTGACTGTTCTATCTGGATGGGTTTGAATATTGGCTATCTCTTCATCCACATTAAAGTGATGTAAATGTTTAAAATTCCTTAGTCCACAATCATTGTATGAATAAAATTGAGGCACAGAAACTGATCACAAACTGACAAGCCAAGCCTACTTAACGCTTTTACTGTCTCTTACGTAGGTCTACGTTATTGACGCCAGTGTTGCTTTCATAGATCTAGGTCTTGAGCTCAGTTCCTTCAGATAAGCCATGGGCAGTAAATTTTGGCCTAGGTGTGAGAGAATGGGTCTGTGCCGTGAGTGTTCATGGTGTTAAACGAAAAATCCTAACCAATGCAGTGCATGACCTTGTGTCTGGCTGAAAATAGTGACCTGAGGTATTTTCTTTGATGGTTTTATTGGCTGTTTATTGTTATCGCTTGATAGAATGGAAGACATACTACTGCAACAGAGATAATTATAGAAGTGGCTTGAAATTGAACTCAAAGTAACGGAAATATTTTATTTTTTACTATATTCTCGAAGACCGGAGGGGGGAGGCCCTCCTGGCCTGTTCTGAGTTTACCAGGCCTGCTTCAGTTATTGGGATACCTTAGACCATGACCAATCATCCTTATTTGTATATTATCTAATAAATTGGGTGAAACTTTTTTTTTTATATAAATTCAGAATGAAGGGCAAGCGTGATGAGAGGACTGAAATTCTGGACTTGTTTTTTCAACTAGAATCTCTTTAATGTGTAAAATTAGCCAAATTTCCAATGTGTCAGGGTATACCACAAATTCTAACCATACAATAGAGCAGAAAAGTAATGTGAAGGACCTAGGAGTGATAATGTCAGAGTATCTCACCTTCAAAGATCACAACAATGTATCTACCTCATCCGCTAGGAAAATGATAGGTTGGATAAAGAGAACCTGCAAAACTAGTGATGCCAAGCCCATGATGATTCTCTTCAAATTGCTTGTGCTCTCTAGGCTGGAATGCTGCTGTACACTAACGGCCTCCTTCAAGGCTGGCAACATCACAGACTTGGAGAGTGTACAAAGAACTTTCACAGCACACATTAGTGCAATAAGGAACTTAAACTACTGGGAACGGTTGAAGGTCCTTGATCTGTATTCCCTCGAACGCAGGCGAGAGAGATACATGATAATATACACTTGGAAGTTCCTGGAGGGATTGGTACCAAACCTGCACACGAAAATCACTCCCTGTGAAAGCAAAAGACTCGGCAGGAGATGCAACATTTCCCAGATGAAAAGCAGGGGTGCCACAAGTACACTGAGAGACAACACAGTAAGTGTCTGGGGCCCAAGACTGTTCAATTGCCTCTCAGCATAGCTAAGGGGGATTACCAATAAACCTCTGGCTTTCTTCAAGAAGGCACTGGACAGGCACCTAAAGTTAGTACCTGACCAACTGGGCTGTGGTTTGTACGTCAGCTTGCGTGCGACCAGCAGTAACAGCCTGGTTGATCAGACCCTGATCCACCATGAGGCCTGGGCTCAGACTGGGCCGCAGGGGCGTTGAGCCTCGAAACCCTCTCCAGGTAACTCCAAGTATTGATAGTGGAATGGGAAGTTACTTGTGTTCAGTTGATTGAACAGAAGCTATACTAGCAAAATAGCTATGCATTTGGTAGAATTGAGTATTGGAATTGGATTGAAATAGGATATAATGTGACGAAATTGCCAATGCTTAAATTACTCAGAGCCTCTCGACTTTGTGCCTGCGTAATTCCATGGGTTTTCCTTCAAATTTCGTATTAGTGACATTACCTTCAGAAAGAGATTCTTTGCCATATCAGAAAACCTAAGTGTTGTTTTCTAATGTTTGCTCAATACTGTTCTTTTTTACACTTTTTAAAAAATTGATACATGGATGGTAATTTAAAGGCTACTAGCAGTGATTGCCTTTTTCCCATGATTATAAAGCTATTCTATATGGTGCAATTTTTTCAGAAGTACGATTGAAAAAGTGCAACCAAAATTGAATGACATTTACAATGGAGGTCTTTTCATGTGCTTTTTCAATTGTACATGTATTTGCAAAAATCCTGCCAGATAGAAGAGACTTCATCAGAGAACTGTGACTATACTGGGAATAGAGAGGCAACCTCTACACTAAGCACTTTCATTTTTAGAAAACTTAATATCATTAAAACTTGTCTGGTTCAATAGCAAACATATTAATGTGTAACTCTAAATATGATAGAACCTGCATTTACCCTATGTTTGTATGCTACTTAATGTGGCTGCAGTGCAGTGATGGTAATAAATAATTAACTGATGTTCCATTGATATAAATCTTTGGCTCAATTTATGTACTGCTACAAGTATAATACAGTATTGCATATGTTTAACTGATCATGCCACGGGCGGGATTGAACCCGCGGTCAGAGAGTCTCAAAACTCCAGACCGTTGCGTTAGCCACTGGACCAGCTAGCCACAATAAGATTCGTCCAACTAGGTATATTGGACAAATCTTATTGTGGCTAGCTGGTCCAGTGGCTAATGCGACTGTCTGGAGTTTTGAGACAATCTGACCATGGGTTCAAATCCCGCCCGTGGTATGGTTTGTTTGCAAACGTGTCATTACGATTTCGTGAGTCTTGCTCAAATAAGCTGTAAGCCTTAAATTTTTGGCCTAGATATGAAAGAATAGGTTTGGTAACTGTGCACCATATAAAAAAAAGAATCCTGCACCATGCAGTGCATAATGAGAAAAAATGCAATGTGTTTTTGGTTTAAAATGGCAACTTTAGTGTATTTTTGTATTTTTTATGGTTGTATTCTCAGTTTCTTGGTCTCATTTGATATAATGGAAGATATATTATAGAAATAGAGATCATTTTGATAGGTTTAGGGAATAAAAATAGCTTGAAATTGAGCTCAGAGTAGCAGAAATGCTTGCTTTTTGCCGATATTCAAGAGTAAACAAATCATGTCGTTGTACAATACATGTCCACCTGGTGGGTCTGTGTGTTCACGAATACACTGGGAGGTAGTAGGTTGGTAGGCAGCAACTGCCCAGGGAGGTGCTACCATCCTGCCAAGTGAGTGTAAAACAGAAGCCTGTTAAGGTTCAGGTACGTCTTTTTCCTTCTACTTGCTCTTAGGTTACACTACATATGCAACAACATACAAAATACTGCGTGGAATAGACAAGGTGGACAGAGACTGGATGTTCCAGAGAGGGGTCACAGAAACAAGGAGTCACAATTGGAAGTTGAAGACCCAGATGAGTCAAAGGGATGTTAGGAAGTATTTCTTCAGTCATAGAGTAGTCAGGAAGTGGAATAACCTAGCAAGTGAGGTAGTGGAGGCAGGAACCATACATAGCTTTAAGATGAGGTATGATAAAGCTCATGGAGCAGGGAGAGAGAGGACCTAGTAGCACTCAGTCAAGAGGTGGGGGCAGGAGCTGAGTCTCGACCTCTGCAACCACAATTAGGTAAGTACATGCATGTACAAACACACACATGCACACCCCTCTGGGTTGCTTTCTAATTTCTTTCTAGTTCTTGTTTTAGACAAGTTTCAGATTGGGGTCTGGACAGTGAAAGGGTTAATAAATGATAGTATAAACATGTTTTTTGGTTTTTAATTGCAATGGCTAGTTAAAAAAAAAAAAGAGGGACTATGATTCGCTTTACGACAGTGGTCTGGAGCCAAACCCACTATATTGGCAAGGTATACCCAAACATCTTAGGTCAAACTTTTTTTTTTTTTTTTTAACATCGGCCATTTCCCACCAAGGCAGGGTGACGAAAAATAAAAAAAAAAGAAAACTTTCATCATTCAACACTTTCACCTTCACTCATACATAATCCTCCATTCTTTATTGTACTTGATAGCTTTTGCCCTTTTCATCTTTTACGAAACTATAGAATCACGTAGTGTTGGCAACAGTTTTGCAAGTGATATATATTTTTTTTTCACTTCGCAGACATTGCTTTTTTTCCCTGCAAGTTATGAAATTGTTGGATCTATCTTGTGTAATACTTTACCATGGTTTGTAAATACATGTACTTACAATTGTTTGTTAATCTTTACCTTCAAGATCGAATTATCTGAGGGTCAGTTTCACTGCCTTTCACTTGTATTCAGTGAAAATCTTAAACCCATTAACTTGTAATCCATTGCGCACACTTGTGAGAATTTTTCTGTTGGACCCCACACATAGGTTATATGTGCAGACCACTGTGAGGTGGTCAGTAGTGTAGTGATGGGATTTTCATGTTCATCTTAAGCTTAACTTTGTCTGTATCTGACTTATTGGTTGGCTTAGGCTGTTTTCTGTTTAGCTTTTCATTTATTGACTAGGGTTAATTATACATGTTTAAAAGAGTTGTCCTTTGATATCTAATTGCCAAAATTGACTTTATTTTGTTACTTGCCTAGGGGTGAGTATATTGAAATCATTACTGAAGTTTAAGAAAGGAATGGTATAGTTAAGAGCTGATCCTTATGGGACCTTTCATTTTGTTGTACTTATAAAAAGTGGAGATTTAGGTTATGTACTTTTATTTATTTACTCTTGGTAGAGTATGAGGAAGGTGAATGAGTCACCAGTCAAATATACAGGTTTGACAGTTTTACCCTATGCCTATATTTGTTGGACTAAATAAAGCACTGTCCACAAAAGACAAGTTCTTCCACACATGGGCTTTTTGGTCCTTAGGGGTAACTTCTAGTGCACATTTTCACATGGCTTATATGGCATTTTCATTTTTTTTTATATGGTGGTGGTAAATAAAACTGTTCTCTCCTTGTATGCTTTGAATATTACAATCGTTCTTTGTGTTGCAGCCAAATTGGAGGAAGCCCAAGGGTATTGACAACCGTGTAAGACGCCGCTTCAAAGGACAGTACCTCGTGCCCAATATTGGTTATGGCTCGGCAGCCAAGACCAAGCACATGCTTCCCAATGGCTTCAGAAAAGTCCTTGTTCATAATGTTCGTGTAAGTATGGTTAAAATTTGGCAGTATCGATTTTTGTAGATGTATTTATTAGTGAAACCATGGCTAACATACATATGACCAATACTATTATAGCATGGCATGTAGCGTCTTTATTTTGGCTCCCTGGTTAGGGGTTATTTTTAACGGAGTGATGGTCTTTAAGTGGTTGTTGTTTAGGGGTATGGGGCTGCTTCACTATAAGGGGTGTAGGGGGTCTTGGCTGACATAAGAACCCAGTACCTCTTGGCATAAACAATAGGGATATTTCTTCCTTCATATAAATTTGCCGACTTACTCCAAATGACAGTTATGGATGTGGATTGTAAAGTGTAAAAATTTTAATTGAAGTAGTTTTAATTGTTTTGAGATTGATTTATATTATGACTGAATTAGTCATGACAGTATATAGTTGAGAAGGTGTAAATTCAGTCAGAATCAGTATTCAGCATAAATGTTTAAAATACTAAATAACCAAATCATTTAGTGCACATCATTTTAATGTTCCTCCAAATTGCAACCTCTTCACCCTCCTTTAGAATGCAGGTACCATATTTTACACCACCAGGACTTAAATCTGCCTAACTGGTTTCCACGAACCCCTGCATAATGTTGCCTTGCTCACACTCCAACAGCATGTCAAGTCATAAAAACCACTTTTCTCCACTGACTTGTGTAATGCTCTAAGTCCCTAGCACTCGAAACCTTTACCACCCACCAAGATTGTCTTAATTTTGTTTGATATTTATTTCAAGGATGTCTTTCACTGAAGTTTTATTGTACCATTGTTGGCTTGGCAATCTTGTGCTGAAGGTTCTTGCTATCCATCCTTTCATTTTCCTCATTTGTGATAACACTTGAGCTCCACTGACATTCATTCCATTGCTTTTAGTGATTAGTTTTATGATCCATTCTTATTTTTATCTCCTCAGAGTTTTCCATAATAGAATAACAAATTTGTCATCCTTGAACATCATATTTTGTATGAACCTGGAAAGTACTTGAGGGCCTGGTCCCAAATCTGCACACTGCCATAATAGCATACTAAAGTGAGAGATATGGGAGGAAGTGTAAAATAAACCCATTGAGGAGCAGGGGTGCTGTGGGGACAATAAGGGGAACACTTTATCAACATCCAGGGTCCCAGACTATTCAACATCTTACCAGACGATATCAGAAACACAGCTGGAACAAGTGTAGAAGCCTTCAACAGGAAACTGGACAAGTATCTTCACCGGGTGCCAGGTCAACCAGGTTGTGATGGATATGTGGGACAGCGGGCTTCCAGCGGCAACAGCCTGGTTGACCAGGCAAGCACCAGATGAGCCTGGCCCATGGCCGGGCTCCAGGAGTAGCTAAACTGTCGAAACTCTTGAAAGGTATATCAAAGGTAACCACTGGTAGACTGTATATATGCTTGGAGATTTCCTGTGCCCTCATTGAGTGCTACTCTTACAAATTCTAACATTTTTTACTGTTTTATATCGCTCTGTTGGATATTGATGAGGCAAAGCGAGGGGGCAAGTACTGTTCTTTGGGGAAGAGCCTTTCAATGTGGCAGCAGCAATTTTGACTGTTTACTCATTGCATTCTGTTAGTTAAAATTAATCCTCTAGCATTTTTTATGCACTATTATGTCATGATTGCACTTCCCAAAGGCATTTGCAAAGTCTGTATACAGAAGCCACCAGCACCCAAACACACAAGTTATACTTTCTGTATCAAACTGAACACACATTACTCTGTTTAATATTTTTCTAGTAGTACTTTTCATGAGCTAGTCCAAATTCGCCCAGTGATCCACTAATCCGGATTTGTCTGGATACGCCCGGATTCAAGTGGATTCCTTGATAACAAGGTACATCCTTTGACTGGGTTCATTAGCTGACGGGGCTTTATGTGCCCTCATCAAACACCCGAACAGTAACTACAACAAAGATACAATACAGATAGACAGATCTACTACTAAGGTGATTATTAGTAAAAAAATATACAGTGATCTACTAACTGGATTCATCAGGATTCAAACGGTTTCATTGGAAATAAAGCCAAATAGGAAAAACTGATAAAAAAAAATAAATACCTCGAGGAATTTAGACTAGCTAGCTAGGAGAGTTGTCAAGTGTTGTAAGATGACTACCACCACCACGAAGATCTGTGTAGTCTGCAGAAAGGGTAAAGGACTAAAACAGGCCTGGATTGCTTGCAATCTCTGGCCAGTGGTCCCATGGTATATGCAGGGATTTTAAACCAGCGACCACACTTGACATCAACTCTCATGTTTTTGGGTCTGCCCAAATGAGATACACCTGTATGAGAAAGACAAGAACACCAATAAAAGATCCTTCTTGAAAGACATGTCAGCATGGTATGACAACTGGGAAAATAAGATGGATGGTAGGGACGGGGCTGTGTTGGACAGTGCTCCTGAGGGTGCTAGTGCTGTCCTGGAGGACAGTGCTGAGGGTGCTAGTGCTATCCTGCAGGACAGTGCTGAGGGCACTAGTGTTGCCCTGGAGGACTGAAAACAATGCTATTCACTTCACAGAGGTGCAAAATAGAGATACATACTGCTGGAGATGGATCAAAAGGGGATGATGCCTCAGGGAATATTGTTGACACACTACCAGCAAAACCTGGTGGCAGCATTAATGTCCATACAAGGGTGAAAGATAGGGAGGAAACAGAAAAAAATGCACTAGCAGCGAACGCAGCTATAATAAATCCTAGCAAACAGAATTACATTCTACCGCCCGTTAAAGGGTTAAGCGGAAGGATTCTTACAGGAGACAAGAATCACAGGAAGAACTAAAAGCCATAAAGGAAATTGAAAAAACCTAAAATACTTCTCTTATGCCAGATCTAAGGAAAAAATCATCCAGTATTGGGCCCCTGCTTGAGCAGGATGGGACATGCGCAGATAATAGCCAAGAAATGAGTGAAATACTAAAGTCACAATATGGCTCAGTGTTCAGCGAGCCACTGCCCAGACTAAGGGTTGACAATCCAGATGAACCATACCCCCGGCCGGGATTGAACCCACGGTCATAGTCTCAAAACTCCAGCCCGTCGCGTTAGCCACTAGACCAGCTAGCCACAATAAGATTCATCCAACTAGGTATATTTCTACACCATAGGAAGGTTAGCACAGGCACCTCTGTGACCACAAATGCAAGTTTTTACAGACGAATCTCCAGCTAGCGTGGCCGTGACGAACTCTAGCTCAAGTCCCTTCACTGCCGTCAACATGACTCAAGAAATCGTAATGACACGATTGCGGGTTCAATCCCGGCCGGGGGTATGGTTTGTTTGCAATCGTGTCATTACGAGTTCTTGAGTCAAGTTAATCCAGATGAATTCTTTATGAACAAAACCCAAAATTTGATCGTCTCAAAAATCACTGATATTATCCCAACTCCACAAGACTTTGAAAAGGCAATAAATGACATGCCCATGCACTCTGCCCCAGGCCCAGACTTGTGGAACACTGTGTTCATCAAGAATTGCAAGAAGCCCCTATCGTGTGCCTTCAGCATTCTATGGAGAGGGAGCATGGAAACTGGTCATCCCCCCCCCCCCCCACACTAAAAACAACAGACATAGCCCCACTCCACAAAGGTGGCAGTAAAGCAATTGCAAAGAACTACAGACCAATAGCACTAACATCCCATATCATAAAAATATTTGAGAGGGTCCTAAGAAGCAAGATTGCCAACCACCTAGACACACACCCATCAGTTCCACAACCCAGAGCAACATGGGTTTAGAGCAGGTCGCTCCTTCCTGTCCCAGCTGTTGGACCACTATGACAAGGTCCTGGATGCTGTAGAGGATAAACAAAATACAGATGTGGTATACACACTTTGCAAAAGCCTTAGACAAGTGTGACCATGGTGTAATAGCACACAAAGTGCATGATAAAGGAATAACAGGAAAAGTTGGTAGATGGATTTATAACTTCCTGACAAATAGAACATAAAGAGTAATAGTAAACAGTAAAGTCCCAGGAAGCCACGGTAAAAAGCTTTGTTCCACAAGGCACATTACTCGCTCCCATTCTATTCCTCATCGTCATTTCTAACATACAGGTGTAAGATGTGTTTTCCTTTGTGGATGATAACCCGGATTACCATGGCAGTGACCTCCATTGAAGAAACTGCAAGACTCCAAGTGGACATCAACCAAATCTTCAAATGGGCCGCTCAAAACAATATGAAGTTCAACAAGGAGAAATTTCAATTACTCAGATATGGGAAACTTGAGAAAATTAAAAATGTATCAGGGTATACAACAAATTCTAGCCATACAATAGAGCAAAAAAGTACAGTGGACCCTCGGACTACATAATTAATCTGTTCCAGAGAGAGTGACTTATTCCAAATTAATTATCCTCATGAGAAATAATGTAAATCAAATTAATCCATTTCACACAACCAAAAGTTTTCTCCATGAAATATACATTTACCTGCCCAGAAAACAATGATACATGAAGAATAAAACAATATCACACTTACCTTTATTGAAGACATGATGTATGGGAGGAGGGGAGAGGATAGAGGAGTTTGCAATTGTTTGGATGGGGAATCCCCTTCCATAAATACTTCAGGTACCAAGTCCTTATCCTGGGTTACTTCCCTTCTTTGTTTTTTAATGCCACTAGGACCAGCTTGAGTCACTGGACTCCTGTCGCTCAGAAAAGTGTTCTAAAGAGGTCTGTTTCTGGCGTATTTTAAGAATTGTGTTGGGAGACAGGACAAGATAGTCCTTCAATATGACACTAATATCAGCTTTAAGTGAAACAAAGCTGAAGGGGGTGGGAGAGTTTCAGTGGAGAGGAATAAATGGGATTAGGTCAGGGGTTTCAAATAGAGTTAGATCTAGCTAAAGAAGGAGTAGCAATAATGTTGAAGGATAAGCTATGGAAGGAAAAGAGGGACTATAAATGTATTAATTCAAGGATTATGTGGAGTAAAATAAAGATTGGATGTGAAAAGTGGGTTATA